TATTAGTATAAACCTTTTGCAATACTTAATTAAAAACGTATCTTAAATTTTATAGGAAATTTATTTTAACAAATCATAATTAAAATGAATTAATTAATTATCCCTGTGTATGACTAAAATTTAATTTACTTATTATATTACTAGTATATTATATTACTTATACTTTATTAGATTTGTTACATTGTTATATTTTCAGGCTTTAGAGATTTGAGTTTACGGTAACACTTACTTCGCATAATTATGTAAAGAATTTCGTAAATCTCCATACAAAATCTAATGTTAAGATTCAATTTCATCATAAGAAAAAATAAATAGAAATAATTATTTTTTTTTAATTTCTACTTAAATATAAATAACACAAATTACGAATATTTAGGTAATAGACAATATTTTTATTTTAAAATATTGAAACTCATCTATTTGCTTTACGTAAAATTAAGAATAAACTAGTTTTTAAAATATACACAAAACCTTTTGGTCATTCGAATTCATAATCACATCAGAACATCAGACTTTTGGAATAATCGTCCGTATATATTTATCATACAGATATGATTAAGCATAACACGTAGGCTTAATATTTTTATTTCTATGGAACGTGAATATTAAATAAACCAGGGCTAATCAATTAGATATTAACTTTTATGTTGTCTGTATTGTTTCTATAATCAAGAAATTTTTTAGGAAATATGGAACAAATTTTAAATTTAATGAAAATGAGAAATGTAAATTAATATAACAATTACAATATAACAACTTAAAAAATGTAATTAAAAGTTTTTCTAATATGAACATTGCAATATAAGTAATTAATTTGAAAGCTTGATAAATTCGAAAAATATTAATCTAATATACTAAAAAATTAATCACTATTTTTCCTAATTACATTTGGAGCTTTAATAATAAAACGAAATTTTCGTATCATTTGATGGATCCAATAGATTGAGAAAAATAATTGATACACGCAAATCATAACGGATTCAAATTTAAGATGAATCTGTAAATTAAATTTTAGTCATGTACAGGGATAATTAATTAATTCATTTTAATTATGATTTGTTAAAATAAATTTCCTATAAAATTTAAGATACGTTTTTAATTAAGTATTGCAAAAGGTTTATACTAATACGAGACAAAGTATATAGTAATTAAGCAAGTACAGTATTATTTTCAATGTAAACAAAGAAAACATTCTGGTATTTATCTTTCCCGTTCGCTCAATCCGATTCGCCTTCTATTCGCGCGTGTGTGGGCGCGTGTGCGTGCGTGAGTATGCACAAACGTTTAACCGGGTCGGGGATGTTCGGAAGTTTCATGTTTACCAACCTTTTCGCACGCAGGGCTAAAGGACAAAAAAAATCTTTTCTCCCCCGCCAGTCTATCCAGAGACTTTTCCCTTATGAAGTTTAGACGACAATAATGAAAGCCTCGTTGATGAAAAAAACAAAAAAAAAACAAAAAAACCATAAAAAAACAAAAGTACACGCTGGTGGAAATTGAAGAGAAGGAAAAAGCCTCGACACAAACATCTGAGCCGAGGGCTATAATTCTTTCCAGCGGATGTTCCTTGGCCCTTCCTTGAAATCGAGAAACGAGTTTATTCGTCTTACTTTCTTTTCGTTGTTGTTGTTGGTAAGCTAAAAAAGTTTCGAACCATTTGCCGGACGTCTTTATTGCGCGATTTATTATGTCTCGCGTGACATTTTGACGAAGATCTGCCCGTAAAATGCGACGCATCAGTCACCCGAAGTTTTTTATGTTTATTTTTTTTTTGAAAATTTCATGCGTTCGATAAAATAATGCACTCTCATTTGAAATACGCGAAATGAAACTTTTATATCTGTACTATTGTTAACGTACGTTTTTTTATTGCAAAATCAATCTAGCGAGTATTCACAGTCATAGAATCCAAATTTTAAAAGATATTCTTATGCGTTACTTGTACAAGTAACATCGTAGGATTTGTGTTTCGAAATGAAAGAGCAGAAGCTCATTAGCCGAATGAATAGTGGAAAGAAATGAGATTTTTCGAAATAAAGCGACTGGGAATTTTTCAATATAACTGGTATTGTACTAACTAGATAAAACGCAAAAATTGGGAAACACTATTTGATTGGAGATTATAATTTATAAACCTACAAGTTTTCCATGTAAATCATATGTAATTATAAGTAATTAAAAAATAAATAAATATTCGTTGGAAATTATTAAATTTATATTTCTCATGTCTAACTAAAATCTATACGAAGTAATTACTTATTTAGTAAATTATATTCTAAAAACTTCAAAACTAAATCGAGTCAACCGATAAATGAATATTCACTCTTTTCTCCATAACATTGCGAATGATTTTAATATTCTAATGGTAGAATGGTATGGGACATATCTACAAGAACTTTGTCACTCGTCCGTAGCGAGAAAGGGTTTTTATAGCTGCATTTTATCGTCCAGTAAGCCAAAAACTAAGGCCTATAAAAAGAAAGTGTTTGCTGTAGCGAAACTGCCATCCAAGCTTATGGTAAGGAGCGATACAGCGAGTACTGTATATAATATTCATATGAAATTAATTCAAAGTTGGAAGCTCGTCGTCAACGTTCTCAACCTTCTCAACAGCCTTCTCATATTGTACATTTCGATGCTTATGAAGATACTACCTGCTTATATAAGCGCAAAATTATTGACGGATAGGATGTAAAATTATGTAAAAACCGTTTGTTACTACTAATATTGTTTTGATGTGAAAATCCTTTTTAGAAAATACGAATATGCTTTAGCAAAATACGCAAATCTTAATTAAATTAAGTGAAAGCGAGTTGAGCTGCTAAATGGCAGAGAGAACCACAGAATGTGTAGTGTAATTTTTAAATGAACAATTTACAAACTCGAATCACGAAAAATCAAGAGTGTTTGGTTTTTAAGTATGGCAAAGCTTTTAATGCAAGAAGCTCGAGGAAGCTCGCCTTGGCCGCGCGAATACGGAATTTTGTTGAGAATCGCAAGGAACATAATATATAATCAGCCATTCCCCTCAGGAACATCGCGCCCATATCCAACCCCATCCGCATTTCCCGGGAAAAGCGCCCGAGCGTATTTCGAGCTCCCATAACGGACCAACGGCAGCTCTGGGAAATGTTCGAACCCAGCGATTTAATTACGCATGCATTAAAATATTCGAATTACGATGCACCGCTGCCTCGCGACTGCCACTATAATTGCAGACCAAGAGTCCAGCAGACGGTCTTATAAGGAACCGAGGTGGGGTGTAACGGGAAACGGGAAGACTGGGAGGGAGGGAAGTTATTGTAAGGAGGTTCTTTACCGTACAGAGAGAAGGGAATTGGAAGGCGAAGGTTCGTCCTGTGGGAGTCATTTGGCCTGTGGCGAAAGTCCAAATCTTTCAAACAGCCCGAAATAATTGGGCGCCAGTTGCATCTGTCTGACACTAAACCGCATAATTACGTTGAGTTTCTTGATCTTTGCTTAGGTGCGAATCACTTTAGGTTCTATTAACTTTATTTTTCATTGGGCGAACGACGGGCGACCTACGTGTTATTGTTAGCAATTCAATGTTTGTCGAGAGGCGCATGGCTAATCCATTCAAACACCAATCAACGCGCAACATGAATTTTGCATTAATAAACATAAATAAATTTTTCAGACTTTAGAAATTTAAACGCCACTTTATAATATACTTCGTTCAAAATAATACGTTAGAGCTTAACATCGTGATATTTGTCGACCGCCCGTTGAGATACCGCTATTTTAAAAAATGATATTGCCCACGGATACGGCTAATTCGTATTTAATAAATAAAATAGTTAATGTTAAAGAATAGTCGAATCGTTAAACGACTATTTTTATACTTGATAAAGATATACGATAGCAAATCTTCACGGGCAAACTCAATCAAAATGAAAATGATAAAAATTCATACGCAATATGTTATTTATTTAATATACGTAATAAAGCAAATGTTCACTGCCATAGTACAAAAAAAAAATAGCCAATACCTATTATCTTTGAATGTGTATATATTACTCATACGTATTACGTACGACGGGTATATTGTGTGTTATATCTTAACGTATATCGCTTTTATTATAGAAACACAAATTATTATATTATAAATTTCTAAGTATTTTGTCGGATTCTTATTTCTAAACAGTAATATTGAAATTACATGGCTTCGTTAATTAATAAATAATAGGAAAATAATTACAATAAAAGAACTTGTGCTTGTTAAACTTGAAATAAATTTTATTGTTTATTGTTAAAATTTTATCTTCTATTTTTATTCGTATAAGCGATCTTTTCAGTAACAATCAAAATCCATGACCCGCAATATATCGTTTTATACTGGGACTTCAACGATATGGACAACAATATGTGCATAAAAAACATAAATATTTTACACGAAATCGTACTTTACAAAACACAATTTCAAATGTATCTAAAGTTTTCAACTTTTAAATATACATTGGTAATATTTATACATTGTATAATTTGTATTTATTAGTAGTAATGAAATAATTATATAATACTTTTTTAACTGTTCGTTTGACTTCTGAGTAAATTTAATATTCAAAAATTATATTCTGACCAAACTCATTAAATTCTCTCAGAATGATTTCCTAACTGTAACTATTTGCTAATGATATTTTAAGCAAAATTATCAGCGCACGCAAATTCCATACGAGTGTTAATTAATCATATTTTTCTGTTCTACTTATTCTTCTCTTTTTCTATAAATTGTGTCAAAAATTATGATTTTTATGCCACTTCAATCAATCATATATCTTTTGAATAAGTGCCTACGGCAATAAAAATACATTATGTAACATCGTACGAGCTGCTTGGCATATCACAAGTATGGTGCAATTAAAAAACAAAAATAGGCTTTTTAAACGTGAAATATAATCTAGCACTAATGTTTTTTACATAAACTAATAGATAAAGCATGAATATAAATAATTCTTATAAGAAAAAAAGGCAAAACTCACCCTTCTTATCGCCGAAGAAATCCTGCGCAGTGCACACGTGCGAGATCAGGTAGCAGCTAAGCAGCGGCAACAATATTCTGAAACTAATTGTTTTATTATTAATCGTATTATCAAATTCTATTACTTTGACTCACCCAAGAAGCAATGAGACCCGATTACCTGAGATTAATTAGAGGAAAGTTCTCTCGTCCAGAAATGTCCGAACGAGAGTAAAACGGCGCGAGCAAAACTAAAATTATATCGCACTTTCGAGATGGTAGACAATTAAAAAGGAAAAGGTGAAGGAGATGAAGAAAGAGATGGTGCTCTGATAAAGCTACGTGATTACTGCTTGGAACTACTTTGGAAAACGGAATTTTATGCGTTGTTAACTTGCGGATATCAGACTTACTAACACCTCGCGTTATGGTTATTCTTAAATTGTAAGTATTAAGAGAGAAAGGCATGTAGTGCTGCATAATATTTCAATAAACGACTCTGTTAACATTCAATCAGGTTAACCGTGGAGTCGTACTCGAACTGTGAGAAGAATATTCGTTATTTATTAACTAAACGTTCATAGATGTGAAATACAAGGACTTACATAAATATTTACCCTATTAACGTTCACTTTCGTAATATACTGATATACTAAACAATCAAGCATAATTGTAAGGACATCTTGTCAAGATAAATTGTTTATAAAATAAGGATATTCAAAACAATATTTAAATATTTTGAAAATATCAATATTTGGATGATATATCTTACATGAAATATTTTCATGTACGTTAATACTTGAAATTTACGAGAATGAACATGTAACAAAATGTTTAATGTTGAATTAGAAAAAATAAATCGAGAAAGAAATTAATGTATAGAGATTTTTTAAATGTCAGAGAATAATCTCTCTCTCTCTCTCTCTCTCTCTCTATATATATATATATATATATATATATATATACATTGCGTACGGAATATTTTAATAGCAAATTCTACAAATACTTTCATTTTAATTGATATGCTTTAAAATATTTTAGATTATTTTAAAATATTCCACATGCACCAATGATAATAATGATAATAATATGTTATAAAAATAATGATTATCGAGAGAAATGGAAATGTCGCTCAATCCGCATTCATTTTAATAACGCCATCAATGTACTTGGTAGAGACGATTAAGAAAGCTTTTTAAGTTTTTGATATCTTAGTAGAGATTGTTTGCTTATAGTATATCTTCCACTGAAAGCCGATCATTACGAACACGAAGAAATTACCGAAACAGCGATGAAATAATGATAATGAAATCGTTCGAAGTATAAGTGAAATAGGACGAAAAAGTGGGAGGAGGACATACGCCGATGTGCGCACTCAATGGGAGTGCCAGAGCTGAAAAGTATAGTTGCTTTTAACAGTACAAACAGTTATGTGGCGCACTGTATTATTAGATGAGGAAGAGAAGTTGGAGAAAAGTGAGAAAGAGACGGTCGCACGTGGGTGTTTCGACGATCGGCATGAATCACGTTGCCGTTGACAATGCCGTCTTTGCGCAACTGCCAATATTCGTTGTTAGTAAGCTCCGTAAACTCAGTTTCTCCTTTTCTATTCCCAATGGTATGGATCAATTACGGTATGGATTGGCGATATGTAAAGTCGGCACTCCGGTATCGAAGTAACAGTATTTCTTTCGGTACACTCGAATGAAATAAATTTTAATTTATGTAACGCAAATTGGTACGGCAACTAATAGAAAACTATAATGATGGGAAAAGCGACGAAATTCGAATGGGAATCATCAAATCGTCTATGTGCGACTGTTGTGCTCGTGGATTGTTCCTGAAATCATGAAAGCTACTAAATTTTAAGAACTCCTAACACAAAAAAGTGTAACATATGTAGGTTGATGTAGCACGCAAACAATCGAATTCATTTGATATCTTGCAATTTCAGCCAACGAGAAGATAACTAATAAATCATAACATAAATAAAGAAACAAATGTTATGCGAAACTAGTAAAGATAAAACTGAATAAAAGATTTATGTGGGCTAATAGAGCATCATAGACTTCATTGGCGCCTTATTTATCGTGTATTTGCAACGAAAACGCAAGTGATTCGCATTAATATAATATTTCGTGATATTAAAGAAGTGAGAAAAACATTGAAGAATCCATGGTCCTCGATACAATAAGATAAATAAAAAATACGTCGGTTAAAGGGGAGGAGGAGTAAGAAGTAGAATAATAAGTCGGCGTATCCCAAAAGACTCGACCACACGCTCACCACTTGGCACACAATATAAGATGTAAACGTTCATCCTGCTCATCTTCCAAGTTATATATTCATGAGCTCGTGACTTTACAATGCACAGGGGGGCCCTTGACCCCGATCAAATCTTTCCTGCTCTTACAAGTCTAACGCGTAATGGACGAATGAATTACGCTCGATCGATATTCGATACTTTGTGCTCGAGCGAACTATGACGAATTATATACGCAAATTATAGTGGTCGGCTAATAATAGGACGACTAATACTAGAGAAATATTTATTGAGAAAATTTAGTATATTTAGCGATGTATTTAGAAAAAAGTGCTGGAGCACGGTAAGGTATGACACGTTTATGAAAGATTTACATTTGCTATGCCCATTTAATAAAGTTTGAAAGAAATGTAAGAGTAATATGGTTGTCTGTTTTATTTTTATTAGTAAATACTTAATATAAAATGTGTAAAACCAATATTCACGCGTATAATGTAATTTTTTCAACTATTTATATATATATATAGTGGAATATTCGAATAAATTAATTCAATTTGAAAAAGAAAATATATAGAAGAAAAAATTCAATTAAGAATAAATTAATAAGAACATTTACTGTTAACCGGTACTGCAATTATTAGTTATTAACTCAATGTATAAAATATTTTGAAATCATAAAATTCTTTCTGATTATTACTAAGCTAAGAAATACAAAAAATTACTAAGGAAAATGGTTTAAATTAATTTAAGGTGCACTATAACATATTCGATTCGTTACAATGGTTTAGGATTATTTAAAATTAAAAAAAAAATCTATTTTTTAATAATTACCAATCACTATTTTTACCTATTGTGAAATACATTTATGAATAATTAAGTTATGAAATTTACCCATTGTATGTAATAAATAGCTCGTAAGGTGGACCTTCTAACTTTTTATACACTTTAAAAAAAAGAATTTTTAAAAAATTGCCCATATAAATATAATAAATACGTCAGTCATATATTTTATTATATAAATCCTTATTTTTATAGTAAAATTATGTAATGAAATTTCCTGTACTTTGAGGAAATATAATAATATGTGATTATGTAAATACGGCAAAATGTATTTCAATGCAAAAAATTAATGATATTACATTGGGAAAGTTTATTTTTTCGGAAAGTTGAAACTGTTAGAGAAATTACCTTGATACTTAAGCTCTCAGTCTAACTTTACCTAATTATTTTAAGTGAACGATAATGAATTTGCAAACCTTCGCCAGCTTACTAGAAATCACCTTTTAAACATTAATAGATTTAAAGTGACGATTAATTTTTTAAACATCAATTTAACTTTAAAACGACCATGAAAATAGTATCGTTTTTACGTTTTTTTAAAAATCTCATTATTTTATTTAGAGACTTTAAGTCGCAATGGAAGTACATCTCGGATTTAATAGTTTTTATGCTTGTTCTTTTGTAATATTTGTAAAATTCGCGTATCAAGTTTTTAAGTTAAATTTAAAAGAAATCTCTAAAAAAATATAAATTATTCTCTTTTAAAAATTAATGTGATTGTGATTATCAACACGAATATAACGATTAAAAAGATTTTCAAAAACATTATCAAAATGCCAAAAATCAGTCAAATAAGATTTATTAAATTCTTACTACTGTGTATCTAAACTTGCGCTGTAACTTTAATCAAATCGTCCTGTTTAACACTTCTATTTATTTCCGATGCACAGCATCAACCGAGTTGAGTAGTTTCCATTACATTAGCAAAACAGAATTTATAAGGGTACTTCGTACACTATTTACGTGATGTATAAATGTACTTTTCAAGGTTGCTCAGCTACACCTCATTTAAAATTTATTCAATCCAATGTAAAATTTACTCACTGTTCATAATTATTACATTTATTTTCCGGATAAAAAGTACATTAAATTTCATGAAGAATTATTTATGAACTGATCGAAAAATAGATACAAGTTGTATAGTCCTGAGAAAATCTAAATAAGAATTATGGGTACATACAATTGTTTATTATAAAAATCATGATCTATCGAACTTTATACGTTCAAAAGGTTTTTATAAATACACATAAGCATATTATGATATAATCACATGTACCAAGATACAAAAAAAAAAAATAAAACTCGTAGATTCTGATTATTATAATTTACTCTTTTCTACATTTCACTTGTTGAATTAGTATTGAATATATTCTCTATTTTTTTAAAGTAATTTTAATCACATCACATTTACGTCCTTAAATGTGGTAACTTTAGCAAAATTTCAAAATAAGTTTATAAATAATTTAAGGATTCATAACAAATTCACGAAAGATAATTATAGCAAAATTTTCTTTCAAGAGTTTTAAAATACTTTCATATGCAATTATTGATTAAATAGCAATTATCTTGCTTTAATTATGCGATTGATGACTTTATTTAAAAACATTAAATACCTTTTTATATATTCCATAGCAGAATAAAATATTAGCTCACAGATTGTATCATTTAATTATGTTTTATTGGAATAGAAATTTATTGAGTCATTGGCAAACATTAATCTAATCGCTTCGAATAAAATACATATTACATAATAAGATAATTAAAAATAATTAGAAATTAAAATTTAAAAATTAGTCTATTTTAAGACAAATAAAGAATAATAAAATTTATTGGCATAAATTATATTGTATAATTCAATAAAAAATTGAGTAACAAAGAAAATCTATTTCGAGGAAACGTGACATGAAAGCGATTACAAATACTAAAAATAGATATTATTGATAAGTAATAAAAATTTTATGAGTAATGAAAATTCATCAATTTACATATTTCTGCAATTAAATAATATCTTAACGATGAATTGCTTCTTAAACAGATATACCAATGTAAAATTTAAGTAAAGAACATCGAATATTCAAGAAATATCTACATTGAATACTGTGCAAAAGGAATATGTAACACTCGAATATCATTACGGTGAACACTATGTTCTTTATAGCAAAATTTCCTATCGAATTAAGAAATGACTGGCAAGAAATATATTTTAGAAAGTTTTAATGTAAAGGAAGTTTCAATTACGATGACAGCTTATCGGGAGGTTAACATGTGCATATATAATTCTGTTTGCTATATATGAAAAAATAGTTTACAGAAAATTTAAATTAATCGATTATGTATATGAGAAAGCCGATTTTGAAATGAAATTTTTTAAATCGCGTATTTTACTTTTAAATGTAAATAATTCAATGAAACTGATATTATATACGAAAATTCGTACCAATACATCTAAATATAAATATATTTTTCTTGTTGCTTACCCAGTACGCAATGAAGAAACTTATGGTAAATATATATTTTAAACAATAACAATAAATTAAAATATGTTTTCTTAATTTATTTATATTTAAGTATAAAATATT